AAACAAAGCACAGTACTCTAGAAAGGATATATTATCTACTTTTGTTTGTGTTTTTTTTCCAACTGAGAAGAAATCACCATGGCAAGTTTGAATGCAACCAGTTTCTTTAACAATCAAGTGAAAATTATTAAACAAAGGTAGGGAGAAAGTGTAAATCAGATGGGCCACAGCTATAAGAGAATAGTGATCTAACAATTAGAGCACACACACACACATACACACACACACACACACACACACACACACACACGGTATACTCTTTTCGAGTGTAACACAAGCAGAAAGAGAGGCAGAGTGAGTTGTTTATAGTGTTCAGTGTCATAGCAAGGAGCTTTGCCTGTGTCCTTAGATATTAAATACATACTGTTTTCCATGAAAACAGACTTGGTCCTATTTGCTTCAAAAAGACAATTGTACGTACAGATGAGCATGAAATCTTACAATATACTAATGACTTAAGTTTAAAACAGAGAAGCAGTTACAGGAGGCAAACTGGTTCAGAGGTGATGAGATAAAAAGGAGAGCTGGTACATTCAAGAAGTGGTTTAGTGATAACTGCCAAGAAATACTTCCAATGTGAGTAGGAAGGACAAGCCTATTTATTATTGGGCTGTTAAATTTTATCTATCTCAACTAAAAGCAGTTACTTGAGAAAATGTAACACAGACAATAAAAAATGCCAATGTGTTTCATAGAACAAACATGTATTTCAAACTAGGATATGGATAAGGATATGGACTCATTAGGGAGGAAATTGTGAGGATGGACAAAGACACTGAGCAGGTAGGTGCTATCAACATTTATTAAGGACACCTCATTAGATGCTGTCAGATACAGAGAATTTTGGATAAGCTCTGGAGAAGATTACAGTTAAAAACCAGACTAGATAAATATGAACCTAAAAGTTAAAATTCAATTTTTGTATACAGGGAACTCCATTACAAAACCAGCTACTTTATTTGATACTAAAAAGCTCCTAGGGCCATACTCCTTTTCCAAATCACATCCTGGGGACTGATGACTACTTTCATTTTAAATGCTTATTAAGTGTTTTCAAGTGCCATATCATTCTAGAGATCTGGAATACAGTGGTGACCTAGACTCAGATGCCCCCAGTGCATGTCATCCTAGACATGTGGAATACAGTGATAACCTAGACTGAGATGCTCCCGGTGACTCTCAATCTAGAGGTGTGGAACACAGTAGTAACACAGAAAGAGTGGCTGCTCCTACAAGCATGAAAGCCATCAGAAAGAGCAGAAGTAAGCAGCTATACCTTTGTTACCACTGAGCCCAAGATTTGCTCTTAGCTTCAGCAATGAACATTGATGATTCCACAAGGGCCACTGCTTTTGGACCATGTTTTGAGACATTTCTTAGCTACTTTTATTTCTTCTTTTGATAACTCTGTTCATAGCCCACTTTTTATTTGGGTCATTTGTTTTCTTGACTGTTTATTCCTTGATTTCTTTACATACTCTAGAAGCCAGACCTCTGTGAGATGTAGAGCTGAAAAAGATTCTTTCCCACTCTGTAGGCTTCCTCTTCATTCAATTGGTTGTTTCCTTATCTATTCAGAAGCTTTTCCTTTAGTGAAATCCCACTTTTCAATTGGAGTTAGTTCCTGAGGGAAAGTGGTCCTATTCAGGAAGTCCTTTCCCATACCTCTATCATGCAGGATACAGCCTATGTTTTCTTCCAGCAGTTTCAGGTTTCACATTGAGGTCTTTGATCCATTTGCAGTTAATTTTTGTACAAGGTGATAGATATTTTCCTAACTTCATTCTTCTGTGTGTGGACATCTAGTTTTCCTAGCACCATTACTGATGATGCTGTTTTTCCAATGTATATATTTAAAACTTTGTCAATTTTTAGAAGGTTGAAGCTATGTGCACTGATGTTTGGATCTTATATTTTATTCCATTGGTCTACATGACTGTTTTTATGCCAATACCATGCTGTTCTTATTACTATAGGTCTCTAATATATCTGAAATAGTTATCTCTTCAACATTGTTCTTTTAGTTTAGGATTGCTTTGGTTGTCTTTCATGGCTCCATGTGAATATTATGAGTTTTTGTCTATTTATGTGAAGAATATTGTGGATGTTTTAAAATTAGAATTACATTTAATTTGTAAATAACTTTTGGTAGAATTGTCATTTTGGCACAATTAATTCTTACTAATACATTAATGAGATGAGGATTTTTTCCATTTATAATGCCTTTCTTTATCTCTTCAAAGTTTTAAACGTTTTATTATAGAAGTCTTTTACTTCTTTGGTTGGAGATATTCATGAGTACACATGTGTGCATGCATGTGTGTACGAATATGCATTATTGTGAATGAGGGTTTTCCCATGATCTCTTTCTGAACATTTTTTTTGTTATACAGAAAAACTACTGATCTTTGCTAGTTGATTTTGTGTCCTTCCAATTTGTTGATTTGTCAATCAGTTCTAGAAGTTTTCTTGTGTATTTTTGTGTATCTCTGAGAAGGCTATGTATGCTGTGCAGGTAAGACAAAGCTTAAGAGTGGGACATGGTGCAGAATGTTGAGATATCTGGAACTCACTCAGGCTGGAACTGTGCACACTGGTATAACCTGGATTATGCCTGGAGGCTATATATGTTACAGGGAGGCTAGGGTCTGACGGACTCACCTGACTGAGCTGGTCTACCAGGTATTTGATGGGGGATACCCTGTGTATTGGAAATGACTCAAGTAGGAATGATCATAGTGGGATGGTACACAAAGTGTATAATTCAGGTTAGGTATAGAGATTGGAGAGATTTCAAGTGGGCTAGGGCTCAGTAAACTCACCAGACTGGACATGGGTAGGGTTTAGGAGTCCTGGGCAAAGATTGGAGGTTGGATTTGACTCAGACAATTGAATTGGAGGACAAGGGGAATAAAGTAAAAGTAGCCTACTAGGGTCTGTCTGTGGCATGTGTGGTGGTTGCAGAGACCCTGGTAGTAAGTGGGATTGAAATCAAGTAATATCCAGAGAGAGAGAGAGAGAGAGAGAGAGAGAGAGAGAGAGAGACAGAGAGAGAGACAGAGAGACACAGAGAGACACAGAGAGAGACACAGAGAGAGAGAGAGAGCCTCAGGGGAGGAACCCATCTTGTGGGTCTAAGAAAACTGGGATGAAGGTATAAAGGAGGGACAATACATATAGATTACCATACATATAGAATACCAGGGTCTGCATCACCCAGTTCAGAGCCCTACAAAAATCCTTGGTAACAAGGAGGGTTGGGAACAGGCAAGTCTCAAGAGAAAGTAGCCAAATGACCAGGGTGACCAAAATGGGATGGAGGAAGAGAGGAGTAAAAACTTAGGTAAGCTACATGCATCTAGCCATGTCTTCCACTAACAACTTTAAATTAGTGTTCACCATTCTCTCATTAATATGAGTGTAAAAGTAATATTATGTATCATAAATAAGCAACATTGATTCAAATTAGTCTTGTGTTATGAAAGCACTCTATTCTTTTACTGCTTCCTTCCATGGTCTAGAAAATAATGAGCAAATAGACTCAAAATTGATCAGAGTAGAACGGTCACACTGTGCAGGTATTGTACATCTTTGTTATGATAAATATGGGAAAAACTCATAAACGTAAAAGTGTATTGATGGGGAATGTACTGTGTATGTTTATCTTATTGATTGTTAAATAAGTTCTGTTTGGCCAATAGCAGCAAGTTAGACAGGGCTGGGAGTCAAAGAGGATTCTGGGAAATGTAGTAGATAAGTGGTGATCCAGGAAGGAAGTGACATACAAGGAGACTCATAGCTAAGCGAGGAAACAGGAAGTGTCCCCCTTTTTCCCCGTTTGCCTCCCCCAGCAGCAGGATGTGTGCCACCGGCAAGGAGGGACATCAATAAGGCGTCCGATAAGATAAGTCTTATAACATATATTGATTTATGATACTTAAGACTAAGCTAGCAGATGAGAAGTCCTAGATATTGGCCAAGCATCATTTGTACCTAATACAAGTCTTTCTGTGTATTAATTTGGGCCCTAACTCGGGTGGGCGGCTGGCGTAAAGCTCACACGTGGCAGTGGGGCTCAGGTGGCTTTTGGCAGAAAGATTTACCATAACAGAATGGTGTCAGTGAGTGGGATCCCCCCATCCCCCAAGGTTCCCAGAGAAAGAGGGAAACCTGCAGCCACAGCCTGCCCTGTTGGGCTGCTGAGAGGCATCAGAACAGCCCCCATATGCTTGCGCCGTCCCAGTGCTCTTGGAGTTTGGACTCTTGGAGTTTGGACTGAGATGGCCTGCAGCCCTTGAGGGTTCTAGGGTTAGGATTCTGAGCTCTCACCACCGCAAGCTGCCTTCCTGCCTTCCAGAGACTAGTCAAACAGCGGCAGAACCTGGGCAGCTGGAGATAGTGTTACAAACTTTCATGTAAACTTTACAAAAGCTTAAAAAGGGATTTTAGCAGCAAAAGATCAGAGACAAGCATGACTTCTTATTAGCAGCGTTTTCTTGGGTGATCTCTGTTTTGCTAGAGACAAACAGAGACTTGACTGGTTGCTTTAAGAGAGATTTCCTGACTCAGCAAAAGCGGAAAAAAAAAACGAAGACAGCAGCTAAGAAAGCCGTCACTTTAATTTTGGCAGTGTTGTTTAACAGTTAAAAGACTGGTGGCCAGAAAAAGGTAAAGATTTACAGTAAAGACAGATCCAGATGAAGAAAATCCTCTAAAGGTTTACACTGCATTTAAAAATATATGTAGGCTTGTGAGAGAAGGAAGCAGAGGCAGGCGGATTTCCACAGAGAAACCCTGTCTCGGGGAAAAAAGAAACAAAAGAAAGTAAAAATAAAGTAATAAAAAGTCACATAAAGATGGAAAATACACAGAGAATCTGGATACTATATGCCATATTGTTGTCTTTAAATTGTTTGATTGCAGAGCAAAGACTTACTGCTGCTAAAATACATTTGATTATAAATGCTGCTAAATTAATCCAACTTACACCTTTTAAAAATGCTCTAACTTCAAAATTTAAGGACAGGCTACTTAGAAATAAAGGTTTTGCTTGTATTTTCACAGAAAATAAAAAGCTGTGAATTCCTTCCAGACGAATATGGTTTGATCAAGCAAGACCCCCTGAATCTGAGATGATTACAGACTACAAAACAAGGACTTGGTCAGATTTCTATGTTTTATTATGATCCCAATGGTATGAACATCACCCCAAATCAACAGGAAGCAGTTTAGAAAGAACGACGCCCATATTCCAAAACATTGTTTATAAATGCTTTCATTTAAATGGGGTTGGCTATAAATGATAATGAGCATAGTCAATTTTTTAAGAAAAAAAGGGGGAATAGAATATAGGAATGAATACTTTGCATTGATACAACTTTATTGATACAACTTTAAGGTCAATTTTGTGATATGTATAAGTCTCCTCTTGTTTAGGTATTGTGTTTATACAGATCTTTTAAAATGATATGCTTAATTAAATACAGGTTATATAATTACCTATAATAGTCAGAACTTCTAATTAGGTTAGTTAGGTTTTCTAGATATACAGAGATGTATTTAAGATAGACAGGTATTCTTCAAACCTTTCAAAGACCTACAGAAATATGGCATTTAAATGGTTTAGGGTTTTTCTTGGCAGTGAGACACAACTGCTCCTGGCACACCAATTACGCCAGAAAGGAAGATGGGCATCGAAGAAACTCGTTATGGAGTTTGCTTTCAACATGGCAAGATTAGCCATTTGGGCAAGAAACTGCTCTTGCCTGGAATGTTTGTTGCTGTATAAACTGGACATGAAGGACCCACAAGAACATGACTGCTGAACTTGCAAAACAAGACAGTACTTAGGAGTTCCTGTTAAAATGGAGAAGTGGGCCATGAGGTTGAAGATGGATGCCCCAACGTTACACGGGAACTTTGGGTGACTGTCCAGGTCGCGAGATATCCTGTCAATTCTAGAGTTTATATATTATTCTTCTGTGGTCTTTGATAGAGTTGAAGACAGATAGTTATGGTTATAGTTTTCTTCAGTTATTATAAAAGATAAGTTACCCTTCTTTTTATTTAGACAGAAAAGAGGAGATGATGGGGAATGTACTGTGTATGTTTATCTTATTGATTATTAAATAAAGTACTGTTTGGCCAATGAGGCAGCAAGTTAGACAGTACTAGGAGTCAAAGAGGATTCTTGGAAATGTAGATAAGTGGTGATCCAGGCAGGAAGTGACATAGCATGGAGACTCATAGCTAAGCGAGGAAACAGGAAGTGTCCCCCTTTTTCTCGTTTGCCTCCCCCGGTGGCAGGATGTGAGCTACCGGCAAGGAGGGACGCCTATAAGGTGTCCGATAAGTTAAGTCTTATAACATATATAGATTTATGATAGTTAAGACTGAGCTAACAGATGAGATTCCTAGTCATTGGCCAAGCAGCATTTGTACCTAATACAAGTCTTTCTGTGTATTAATTTGGGCCCTAACTCGGGTGGGCGGCTGGCGTAAAGCTCACACGTGGTGGTGGGGCTCAGGCGGCTTTTGGCAGAAAGATTTATCCTAACAGTTTATGAAACAATATACTGTAAGTAACAACTGCCAGTGTTTAAAAAGTATTTAATATTTGAAAACTATGTACATATTAAGTCATATCAAGCAAAGCAAAAGGCTATAAATTTAAGGTTTTTAACAAAATATTTTAGTTGCCTAAGAATCTCAATTCTGCATTTTAGAGCCTTTCCATTATACAGTGACTGGAAAGTCAAGTGTACTAAAGCAAATTCTAGTGTCTTTTGGTCAGCAAGGATGAATGATCCTTCATACTGATTTCTAGGAAACAAGTGGCTTACTTCTCAAACTGATGTATCATGAAGCAGGGATACCTGTGACAACTGAAGAGATTAAACAGAAGACTCCCAGGCAGTTTCTGCATTCTCCTTGCTAGTAGAGCAGAACCCATGTTTCCAGATGGGACTTTGGAAATAATGGTTGTGGAGATTGTGGATAGAAAGCCAATGAAATCAGACAGAGGGCAATAAACAGGAGTAGAAATGATGAGAGCAGAGGTTGAGACTTTCAACCAGGTAATTGAAAAGGATCAAGTCACCAATATTATTTGCTGAGCACCAATAAACTGAAACAAAATAAAACAAACCCATGCACTTTTAATGAAAATTCTATTCACTTACGATGATTCTTGATGCCTATTACTGTATGGGAAACCAATTGGATTTTCAAGGGCAAGAGACTTTACCAGTAAATAAGATTATATCATTCTTACTGATAACAAACAGAAAGGGGTGATCAGCTCTGAACACTCTGGATTCGGGGAGCTGCTTTTCTACAATGTTGTCTTCTGTGGCAGCAGTGGTCTCGGTGCCCTCCTCTGTGACATCCAAGAACGACTTGTGCATTAGCTTTGATACATAGAGATGGCCTCCAGAAGACATTCCAGAGAGATCTGCTCTGCACTCATCAAAGATGTCTTGCAACCCTAGGGATTTCAAATGGTGCCTTATTTCATAATTCTTCTCTATCTTGAACTGAGGGAGAAATACATCCACATAGTGAGATTTCATTTTCCTCCTACTGGTCCAGTTCATTAGATTCCGAAAGTTCAGCTTGCTTTCAATCTGTAGAGATTTTTAAATAAAACATACTTTTAGGAAAGGATGAAATGGCACTACCGTGACACATGGTTTTCAGTAATGATTCTGTTTGTTCTTTTATTTATTTGTTTGTTTGGGTTTTTTTTGGTTTAATTATAGGAACTACATATGGAGGAAATCTCAGAGAGCAAATGATTGAAAAGAATAGTTCAAGTATTTTTAAACAAGTGAGTTGCATGTTAAATTCACTTTGGTATGACAAGCCATGAATTATGTGTGATGTGTGATGTATGAATTATGTGTGATGACATGTCTGATCTCTGCCCATAATGGAAAAGACAGTTATTATGTGGAATAACAGGTAAGAAAAACAGAACAAGTATGTGGGAGGGTCTAAGGAAAGAAAAGGAAGAGGGAAATGATATAATTATACTATCCTCCCCAAATTTATAATAATTAAAATTTATGAAAACAAAAATCTTTAAAAATAAAATTGGAGTTACTATTCCTGCAAAGTATTTTAAAGTTACTCTAATAAAATAAGAGTAGACATAAAAAGGAATACAATAACAGGGGCTGATCAAAGAAAAACAGAGCTTAGTTATTATTTAAAACAGTGTTTCTAATCATTTTCCCATTATGAAAGACATATAAAGTATAAGTGTTTGGATAGCTTAAAAAAAACAGTGGAGAGCTAGAGAATTAGATCAGCAGTTTAATTCTCAGCACCTACATGAGGCTTACAACCATCTGTAATTCTAGTCAGGGAATCTGATACCTTCTTGCTCCAAGGATATCAGACATGTGTTTGATGCATAGAAGTACATGCAGTCAAAACACCCACAGGCATAAAGTAAAATTTAAAAACAATAATAAATCAACCTAAGTGTCCTGAGGCAAAAGACCCAGGACCCAGCTTCAGGGAATGGAATAATAGATCTGTCCCTTTCCCATGGGGAAGCTTGGACTCACAGCTCTTACCCAACACATGAGAACAGAAGCTCAGAGGATTGAGGAAGTCACACCTGGGATGCAAAGCAAGCACACCTAGAGTAAGTACCTCTCTTCAACATCATGGCTGCTTCAAAAAATTCACAAGTAAAACTTGCCTGGTTTATAATGGGAGGTTTCTTTTTCATAAATAGTAGAAATCCTGTATGTGGATACGCCTTAAATTCAAATGCACTGGAATTCTAAAATAATTTTCATGGGCATCAAACTTACATTTTTATAAAGGACCTAAATTCACAAAGTTAAATTTAGTTCACTGGGAATTTCTGTGTTTAAATAATCCAGTTTGTAAATTGTGTATAATAAGTTCTTATTCTGAATTTAATTTTTCTCCTTGATTCTAGCCTTCTATTGTGTCAACTTCCTTACTGTGTACACAAACACACACACACACACACACCCACACACACACACACACAAATAAAAAAATAAAAGTAAAATAACCAAGAGTATTTGGTATACAGTATTCCCTTATATGGATAGGACAATGATAACTTACTTGGGATATGTCATTTTCAGGCAGCATGATGTACATGTTTATGCCACCATGATACTGGAGCTCCAGAACCTGCATAGGTGGATCCTGAATTGTAGACAAATTGAACTTCCGTTCTTGATGCATCATAGCAACTGTTTTATCAGAACACTGGAAATCAGATCACAAAGAGGTATTTACAATCCCATATCATCATACTCATAGGCCAAGTACACATAAAAATGTGGGTTCAGTCAGTAGACCTGGGAGATTTTCTGGTATGTTGCAAGTGTTGGTTGTAAAATGCATTCATCTTAATTGTAAACATTCAGACTTTCTTGGGGTAAGGTAACTCACATTTCTGTCTCAAGATCCTCATCTGTATGATAGAAATGGCAACAATCCCCCACTCCACTGGGTAGTGAGGATTCTATGGGTTAATATAGCTAATAGGTGGAAGATTACCTTATACTTATTGTTTTAGCTGAAATGCCTCTATTAAGTAATGAGTAATTACAAAATGTCAATAAATAAAGAGTGAATTTTCTCACATCAGAAACAAAATAGAGATTAGAGCTATCAAAACTCTGTAATTTAAGAATGATGTCTTAGAAAAATTAAAAATTCCTACAAAGTCGTAGATTATATCTCATGAACTTAAGGAGCATCCTAATAATTATCTTGAAGATAATGTTCATAGATTTAGAAATACCACACACATATAACAAGTTCTTTTTCCTTTAGTTATTAAAATAGACAAAATTGCCAACATTTCTGTAATATCCCTTTTAAGGGCAAAATTTTCACATGAGAGGACAGTTAGTGCTGTGTCTTTGAAGGAAAGATATCTCCTTCTAATACAATTGTTCTTTTGTGCTTCAGAACAACAATTAATACATATACCCATGGAAAGAAGACAGAGTGGGCTTGTTCCAAGTAGGGACTAGGATGGCTCAGCCACAGAATGCCATTTCTATATGGACATGGAAAAGAGTCAAATATCTCACAAAGGTATTTCAATAATTTTTGTTAGTTTTTTTTTATTTTACTACCTGAGTTCTACTATTCCTCTTACTTCAATAACTTTTAAACTATCTGCACTTACTGTGACACCAGCAGTCAAGACCGCATAGCCTACACTATTACAAAGCTGACACACAAGGAGATGCAGGAAGGGTTTTTAAAAAGTGGCTTTTATTGGATAATGCATTTTTAAAGCTCCAATAGAATCCAAAGACAATCCAGGAGTCAAGAACGCTGCATACTGTGTCTTTATTGTTAAAAGGGACACAACTTATACCATCTGTGAGGTGAAAGGCAGATGGAAGAAACATGGAGCAAAAATTCATTTCCAAATGATGACCATCTCAGCTACTGAAATGCTAACAAGACCTCTGGAATATGTTTTGTATTGCAAGTACAAAAGAGTACAAGCCCAAGTTGTGTCTTACTGTGATTTATTATATTTTCTTGTTATCCATACACAGTTTCTGAGGTGTTTCTGTGCTCATCTCTTTCTGCTTCCCAGACACTCTTAAGCCAGGAACTTTCTCCATCAACCTTGACTTCATGTCAAGACTGGCCAGTAGGCCACCAAAGAAAGGCATGCCACTGCTGATGGTTATCAGCATTTGCATCTAAAATTCCCCATGTATAAGGATGATTTCAATCTGTATTTTTATATGGAACAAATAAAACTAAGACTTAGATTGGTACTCATCTTAGTTTCTCTGCATTTAACATAAAATACTCAGTAATTAAAAATAAATTTTAATTATTGTCTGACTTAATCACTTCAAGTAGTGGAGAGTCCAGCAACATTTAGAGTTTTCCAAGACGATATGCCACTTCTATATAGCAGGTGATAGATCTGACCAAATCGGGCGACACAGAAGAAATTCGTGCAAATACCACAATTCTCACAAAATTGGGGGGGTCCTTTAGCAATATGTACATACCATTGGAGACCTGAAGCGGCAGTTGAGAGTCTCACTCTTGTTGAAGGCAGATTTCCATTTACCTTTGAAGTAAACTGCATTCACCAGCACCATGACAGCCGATGAGCTGAGGCTGCTTCCACCTAACACCTTCTTGATTTTGCCTTTTGAAAATAAGTTGAAGGGAACAATGCTCATCTATATTGAAATAGTTTTTAAATATGCTCGCAGACTTAACAGGCACGATTTTCTTCTTAGATCATTATTATACAACTAACTATGAAATTAGTAATAACACATTGGTAATGAATATGCCCATTATGTTCTAAACCCTTTGAGGACAGTATTTGTTTAAACCTTTAAAGTTTTTATGAAATCTGTGCTGCTGTTCTTTTGGTTTCCTGTGAAGACAACTGAAGCACAAGGACTTTGGATGATTGATACACTCAACAAGAAAGCAAGTGTAAGCATCACCATGGCCTTGGAGTCCACAGAGCTACAGTGAGTCCTCATACAGCTGACATACCAAATCCTGCAGTGAGGAAATTGAGCCTTCTCAAAGACACTCAAACAAAACCTGGGGAATTGCATTTCCAGAACAAAACAGAAATCTGTTTAGCAGAAAAGGTGACCAATAACTATCCTGAAAGAATATGGCCACACAAACACCAGATGGACAACACAGTTTGAGGAGGTCCTTCTGATGTAGAATAAACTTCCAATAATCTAAATTTTGAAGTGGTGAAGCCCTCACAAGAGAAATGAAACCTCAGGATGTCCCTTTTCTGAGCACTGCTTACAGAAAAACTTTCAAGTGACCCCCAAAATAACAATGAGACTTCAGAAATATCATTCTCAGAAAAATCAAACTTTGACAGCCAAAGCAGGACTTATTGGCCAACAATCACAGAGGAGTCCTGATGGACAGATGACCCTGAAACATTGCCAGCTACAGTTGCCCTGGAAATGATGATTCATTCCTTCAAAACTTGGACAGCATCAGATGTCCCAACCATGTCATGATCAGAAATAGCTCAGCGTTTCCCAGAAATAATCAACTATTAATATTAACAAATCACTTGTTAATCAGTGACAAGATCAACATTCGTGGAGATCTTAAGATTAAGGTGCTTAGTCACTTTACCTAGACCAATAAACCAATTTATCTATTTATGACTTAATTTTAAAGACAAAATTGGAACCAATTTTGTGTGAGAGATAAAAATATATCACTAAAAGTAAAAATAATGGAAATATCACCAAAGAAACAAAAAACAATGACAACATGACTCCTACCTGGGAAAACAGTTATAAGAGCCCCTTGATAGCACTAACCAGACTTCTCTGAAACTTAGTTAATTCAACTAAAACTTAATTAGATTCCATTAAAAAGGTTAATTCCCCCCATTTCAAATGAATGAGACTTTCCTTATTTATATTCTTTATTCCAGATGCTTAAATTGTAGCAAGGAAAGCTGTAGTCCAAGCCATCTTGGATTCCCACAAAAAAAGAATTCTTTGTCTGTACAGTCATGATTTTACCTATAATACCTGTTGGCTTTCTAGGATTTATTGCCTGAGATTACCACACATTCACTGTGGGGTTAGATGTAGATACCCAAGCCTCCTTTCCATCAGCCCCAATAATTGTTGCTATTTCAACAAGACTTAAACCATTTAGCTGGGTAGTTACATTACATGGAGTCAATATTAACTAATCTTCCACAGCTATAGCACAATAGAGTCAACAACCAAGAGAGTTACTTTGGTATACAGTGTTGTAGCAATGTGTAAGTATACTGTGCTAAAAGGATACAGATTAGGAAAAACTGACAATGAATAGGACTGTCTGCTTAAATTGAAAGCATTTAGGGGCAGAAAGATGGTCCACAAGTCTGAGACTATTCAAAAATACAGAAATTGGAAAAGAAAAGTATGTTTAAGAAATGTGCCTCATTAGAGTATGTTAACTACACTGAGCTTAGAAAGGCATGAAGCAAACCCAGAATAAGAGAAAGTTTGATTCTCTGTAAGACTTTTGGATTATCCTGAATATGATAGAATATCACTGTCTGGGTTTCAATGCAAAAGGAAGGACACAATGATAAATGATCCAATTTGTCATTTGAAAGTATGACTATTGCATTGTGTAAAGAAATAGGGAAGTAATGCATGGAATAAGGGAGACAATTTGAAATGCTGAGCATAGTCTTTTTAGATTGTAGGTATTATTTAGACTCTGGGTGCATATATTTGCATATAAAGAGAAGGATATGAAATATGTTTAGTGTTGCAAATTAGAGGAGGTAATCAAATGTCCTTCACTACTGTTGTATAGAATGCCACTCAGTTATTCCAAAACCAAGTGTTGTCATTTCTTTTGGTTCATAAGTATTATATATATATATATATATAATACTTATATATATATTATTTGAAATTGCAGTGGGTAGTGAGCAAAGCCACAGTGATAATGTAACATTGAGGGAAAAAATGAAATGGAGAAATCATTTTCTTCTTCCAAGGAGTGCTTGTATGCTGCTAAATGGAGTGTGAGTCTCATGGTTCATAGTTTTGAGGTAAAGCAAAACTCAAATACATGAATAAATTCACAGTACAAATCAGAACCCACCACTAAGTAATAAGTACTATTAGCTTTGTAATCAGTTGATTAGCAGCATAAAAGATTAACAGATTTTCTATGTTTGTTTTATGTTAGAGGAGAACTTTGTCTAGAATTCATATTTTTGCTGTGAAAGGTACTATAAAGAGTCACAGTTCTCTGAAGGTATTATCTTTGTCAAATATATTATTTTGATAGGGAGTATTTTTAATATCAAATTCAACCAAGTATATATAGTCTTAAATAATATCAATCATTAGATTAGAAGGGATTATATTTTATGTGCATAAAAATCCCATTTTTCAAGTAGACTGATCTTAATAAATAGTGTAGAAAATAAAGGATTTTACTTGCCATGTGTCTCATTTTCAATCCATTTATTAATTTTATATCTGGTTTCTTCTACACCATTTGTGAAGTCAACTCTTTCCACGCTGGCATTGTATAACTTTTCAGCACAATCAATGTAATTCTGCAAATAAGAAAATAGAGTCAGTATTGTAAATATCAGCAATTAAGAATAAAATAAATATATTTTGAATTATTTATTCTTCATTTCCACTTGCCTCCATAATGAGACAATATGACCAGAGGAATAGAAACAGGCTAGTAATAAACTTGATGTTGAATATTGAGTTTACTTTCTCAGCGTTGGATTTGGTGATAATGGGTAAAGCTGACTGTCTTGGCTTTAGCACTGCCTTCTCATCATAAGTATTCCAGTGTCCCCATTACCTCCCTTCTAGCTAAAAGCCTCCAAGGGCTACTTACCATCCATAAGATAAGACCCCACACTCCAAACAGAGCTGAAATGGCTTTAGGCTTCATTTTCCTAATTTCTTGTTATTTCCCTCTTCACAGTATTGCTCTTGTCACCCCAAGTTCCTTATAATTCCTCTAGAATTATAATTCCATGTAGCCTGTCTTATTTCAAACCTTTGAACAACACTCTAATGTTCCTTATTGTCCGACTTGCCCCGCTTGTTTTCCAAGCATTACCTACTGTCTCTTCTTGAAAGACTTCTTTCCTAGGTCCCTTCTGTGGCTTAAAACAATATCTTCACTTTCACCTTTCATTTAAAAAGTTAGTATCTGAACACTTGTAGAGAGGACATTATGATAATTTGATAGATACATTTAACATGTAGTTACCCAATCATGGTTATTAACACCACCATCTCTTCAAACATAATCATGGACGTCACAGTACATTTTACTTTCATTTGAGATATTCTAAATAAGACACCAAATTCTGTGAAGTTGACACCATGCATGCTGTATTCATTACCATTCCTAGTATAAAACACACTGATTTCTACCTAGTGAGCATTCAAAAGTACTTATTTTTCATAAAAAGGAAATAGTTGCCCAATTTACCACTATTCTAGAAATATAGCAAAGGCATACATAAGTTTTGGAAAAACATTGTATTTGTAAGAAAAATAATATAGCTTATATTGATCTATATTTACTAATAATTATCCTAGTAAATTATATAACATTTTATGTACTAACATTGAGGATTGGCTAGTGATGTATGAATCAAACTCTTTTTCATTTACTGCTTAACTTCCATCTCTCCATTCATTCATCTCTACATCTACTTATCCATTCACAGATACTAATTACAGAGATTAGTTTCAAAACTCCACCATATTTAGAGAGATTAATGTCATAAACATAAGCTATCAGTAAGGAAAAAAGCTGAGAGAAGCAGAGGCTAGAGAACTACATAGACAATATTGTAGTCTAGCACTTCCAGGCAACCCTGGAAGACTTACAGGCTGTTGGGCATTTATACATTTTTCTTTAAGTTCAATTAATATATCATACCAATTTCTTTCTAAGAGTTATCATATTTTTTAAACAGGACTATTCATATGGGTTTATTTACAATAAACAGAAACTGGAAACAGCACGTGTCCATCAACAGTAGGATGGATAAACAAACTATCACATATTCACACAAACAGAATAGTTTTTACAAGAGAAAAGCACGGACAGCTGATAAATGTGACAACATAACATAATCATAAAACACTTCTCTAAGTGAAAGACACCTTAACCCAAGAGTGTTTACAACACAGTTAAATTTATCTAAAGTTCCAGAACAGAGAAAACCAATGTATGGTTGAAAAAGGAAGAAGAATCAGAACAATAGCTCCTTCTGGGGAAGGGATGGAGGTAAGGACATCCTTGAGGTGGACAAGGAAGGGAACTTTCTAGGGGAGACAGTATTGTTATCAAAGCTGATGGCAATGAGTTACAAGGGTACATATGTCTTTCAGAGATCATCAAATATCGAAGTAATGTTGAAACAGTCTATTTAAGGAAGCTATCTCAGAAGAAAAAGAGCAAGAACTTGAAACATGCTAAGTTCTAGGAACTTGTTATATGTGCTGATATGGTTAGGGGTGAAATTGCTGATGCACATTTGAGATGCACCAAAAATTATACAGGTATGTGGGAGATAGGGGGGGTGGATTGATGAATGGGTGTGTTTAGAAAGAGCATAGAGGTGTTAGCTGTAGAAACTGAATGGTGGGTATTTTCTGTGCAGTTACTTTGTTTGTAAAAGGAAATATTAGTTGCCCAAACAAACTTTTCTCTTTGCCCAGGTCCTGAACTCCTCTAAATATATCAATGCGGGCCAATATTGTTATATTCATCTATTGACACTAATAATTCCAGATTAGTTTCTCTCTCTTGGAAGCAGAAGCATCCTGTCCCTTTCCCAAGAGAATCCTGCTATCTTTATCCCTTTCTTTGATGGCTGATTTTTTTGTGTCTACATAACAAATTTTACTTAGCATATGTCTGGGAGGATATATGAAGTTGAGGCATCACTGATGACAGAAGGTATTTTGGTTGTGAGCCTAACCTTTAATGGCTGAGCCATCACTCCAGCCCAACAGAAGGTTTATTAACTCGATTGTAGGTAGGCCTCCTCCATCCAGTTCCTATCAAGTGAAAGTCCAAGTAGGACCAACATAAGAGGTGGTTCTGCAGCTTGCCTGTTGGAGCTGGGACAAGGCCATTTGACTTTTGGACTACAATGAAACATGTATTTTTTTTTAATAGGTCTGGACACTGACAACTTCTTATCTAGGTCTTCTAAACCATCTGACTTGCCTATTGTAGATTTTAGGATTCCTCGGCCTCCCTAGTCAACTGAGTCAAGTCTTTTTAACAAATCTTTCTGTAGGCTGTTATTTCTATCCTCTAGAGAACCCTTGCTAAAGAACTCAGTAGAATGGCATTCACATATTTTCTCCTTGTCTTTCCCCAACTCCTCTGTCACAGTCTTTCCAGAGAAAACAGGATTCCCACATTTTATATTATCCATTTTTTTAAAACCTGGTGACAAACCTTTTATTTTCAATCTATTTCCTTGATTAATGTTTTATAGTTTCCTATATACAGACTGTGGTAGTTTGAATAAGAATGGCATCCATAGGCTCATATGTTTGGATGCTTAGTCATTAAGGAGTGTCACTGTTTGGGAGGGATTAGGAGGTGTGGGCTTGTTGAGGAAGTGTGGCTACTAGGGTGGACTCTGTGGTCACAGAAGCCCACAGTAGGCACAGTGGCTTTTTTCTCTTCTTGCTTCCTTTGGATCTGGATGCAAAACTCTCAGCTTCTTCTCCAGCATCCTGACTGCCTGCATGCCACCATGCTCTCTGCCATAATGACAATGGACTAAAACTCTGAATCTGAAACTGTAATCAAGCCCCAATTAAATGTTTTCTGTTATTATAATTACCTTGGTCATGGTGTTTCACAACAATGGAATACTAACAGACAGAACAAATATGATACTTATTGCTAAATGTTATATTTGATAGCTGTATATAAATGGGATTGTTTTGTGGATTGAATTTCCAGATAGTTTGTGGGTAGTGTTTAGGAATGCTACTTTTGGTAAGTTAACTTTCCAAACTATAATGTTACTAAATTTGTTAGGAGTTCTAGCAGATTTTTGATGGAGCCTTTAGAGATAGCTAGGTGACAGATAAATACATATTATATACAGTAGATAGATAACTGATACATACATGGGAGAGGGACTTGGACCTGTCCCAAGCTACTGTGTCAGACTTTGTTGACTCCTTATGAGAGAGAGCCCTTACCTGTGAAGGGGACTGGACTAAGGGTGGGCTGGGAGAGTGTGAAGGAGGGTGGGAGGAGGGATATGAGGGATATGAGGGATATCTGTGGTTAGAATATAAAATGAAATTTAAAAATACATTATTAATAAATTATAAAAAGATTTTTAAGCTCCATATTCCAAATGGATCTTGGGCTTTAATTTCATTCTTTCAGAGTTCTTATATAGCATGGTAGCACTCTAGTGTACTGTGGTGATGTTGTGTAGCATGGCAGTGCTGTTGTGTAACATGGCGGTACTCTTGAGTAGCATGGCTGTGCTGTTGTGTACCCTGGCAGTACTGTTGCATAGCATGGCAATGGTGTTGTGTAGTATGACAGTGCTGACCTTCTAACACAAGTTTGGATATGCTTACTCTTCAGGGTTTTTAGAAGAGTTTCACAAAGTCTGACAGTTCTGTAATTATCTGGTGACTTTAGGAGTCCTCAGCTTTCATTGGAAGTGAGACTTTTTATTTATAAATCAATATTACTGATTGCAACTCTATTCAAGTTTCCTGTTCCTTTGATTCAGCATTTATATGTTGTATGTTTCCAAACATATCCTCACTTATTCTAGATTATCCTGTTCTTTGGAATGTAACTGTTCATAAAGGTCTCACTATCATTTGGATAACTACAATGTCAGTTGTATTATCTCCTTCACTTCTAGTATTGAGTTTGCTTGTCTCACTGATCCAGTTAAATGTTTGTCAGATTTTCTTTTCATTGCGAAAAATGTCCCTAATCTTCAATTCACAGTTGTTTGCTATTATTCTTTCATCTACTTAATTTCTATATGTTATATTATTCTTGTTTATTTCAATCTATAAATGCTTAATATACTCATCTTTTTCAAATTTATTTAGATGTAATATATAGTTTACATTTGTTTTTTACCCTTTTTAAAAGTAGGTATTTAGTGCTACAAATTTATTTCTCAAATTTTCATTTCATAAGCTTTGGTGTATTATATTTTTCATTTGTTTCAGCATATTTTCAACTTTACTTTTAATTTCTTCCTTTACTCCTTGGTTGGGGAACAATGTTCATTATCTTCTATCCAGAACCATTTTTAATTTGAGCTGATAACTAAATTTGTTATTTTTAGGTTCAAAAAAGTTTTACCTAATCACTTACTGTGGGTGCTGGATCACAAGCTCAGAGTTTAAGAATACTTCTTGGTGCTCTCCCAGAGGACCCAAGTTCAGTTTCTAGCACCTATGTTGGATGGACAATAACCTTGTAACTGCAACTCTAAGGAAACCTATAATGTCTTCTAGCCTCCTTAGGCAATTGCACTCAAGTGTACATATCTCTAGAACGACCCACAGGTATAGACATCATTAAAAAGAAAAGAAAAAAAGAAGAATAATCTACTATATGTATAGATGTTTG